GGAGCTTGCAGTGAGCTGAGATCCGGCCACTGCACTCCAGCCTGGGTGACAAAGCAAGACTCCGTCTCAAAAAAAAAAGATCTTTAAGAGGGGCATTATCTAGACTCCCTGGTACTATATTACCATCATGAAGCTATGGCTTTTTACACAGATGACAAAGACATAAAAAATATATATATATATAAACACACACACACACTCAATTGTTCTAGAATTGGATTTTATTGGGATGCTTACGTTAATATATAATTTTTGCATATTCCAATAAAAATATGTAGCAACTAAAGTTTTGAAAACTCTCGACAAATCAAAAGACTAAGTTGTCGCAAATACGCAGAAGTTCACCAAAATATTGTTAATTCTGCCTCTTACTTTTCAAAACTGCATAGTTCCCCATTCCCATTGCTACTCCCTGGGTTCAGGCCATCATCTTATACCTGGATCACAGCAGTAGTTGCCTCTCCCTACTGACAGTGATCATTCTAAAGCTCAAATGTGATCACATCATATCCCCTCTACTTAAAATATTATCAGTGGCTTAAAGCTCTTTATGTTCTGGACTTTACCACTCTAATCTCTTCTCAGACCACCCACTTTCCAAGTCCCAAGTTTCTACCACAGGGATTTGTTACTTTTACATGCTCACTCCCTCTTTAAAACTTACTAAGCTCTTACTACTACATGTAAAGGACTGTTACAAGCTTTACTAACACTTATCATTTGAATCCTCACACCCAATAATGTACGGCCCCTATCTTACAGACGAGGAAACAGAGTTAAACAGCTTATCCAAGGTCATAGTGCTCATTAATAACAAAAAATTCAATCCTAGATCAAAGTCATATCACCTTGTAGCTTTGTACTTGGTTATCTCTTATTCTTTTCAAATCTCAGTTTAGATGTCGTTTTCTCAAAGAAATCTGCCCTAATAAAAGTGTAGGCTGAGTACCTCTTGTTCCCTTACAGTATCTGTTATAGCCCCTTTGTAATGTTTACACTCTATTATTAAAGCACTTCATTAACGATGAGTTTTTTTCTCTAAATAATAAACTCAGTTGGGACAAGGCCCGAGGTGGTCTCCTGTGGTGTAGCCCCAGCACCTGGCTTATAAAATATGCTGGGAAGATGTTCATTGTACATAGTATCCTCTTAATATTTACTGAATGCCTAAATGGGAATCAAAATTATCTTCACTTAGGCACATTTATACAGACAATGTTGACCTTTTGTTGCTAATCTTCAAAACAACAGTAAAACAGTATTATAACTTTCTTATGCATAGATTCTCTCTGCAGACTACTTCAAGTATCCAAGTGGGGAAGATTACACCTAAAATGGAAAAGTCAAAGTCACTTACTTTGACATGGGTTTGTTGCCACTGTCCTCCTTTGCTTTCCTTCCTTCTTCTACAGGCTTGAGGTTCAACAGTGGAGTCACTTCAGCATTGCCATAACCAGCAAAGGTGATTGCAGCGGTGCCATTTTCTTCATCTATCTCTTCAATCTCCGCTTCATAACACCTGTAAAGATATCATGGCTGTAAGCAGGTGAGTAAAGGTTTAGTACTCAGCCTACAAGACTTATACTGTAGTGATACAATTATTACATGTGTCTATAATGAAACTTCTATAATCAAATGGTTGTTTTAGCAAAGAGAATACAAAAGAGTGGTTGAAGTTAGTTGTATTTTATTAAAAAAAAAAAAAGACATCCTAATCAAAATATTGCTGGGAAAGTCTTTTGCATGTATCTACCCAATGTGCTTTAATGTCTTTGAGAAAAGAGGTTTCTTTTCTTTTTTGCGACAGAGTCTCACTGTCACCCAGACTGGAGTGCAGTATTGCAATCTTGGCTCACTTCAACCTCCGCCTCCCAGGTTCAAACAATTCTCATGCCTCAGCCTCCCAAGTAGCTGGGATTACAGGCACACACCACCACACCTGGCTGATTTTTGTATTTTTAGTAGAGATGGGGTTTCACCATGTTGGTCAGGCAGCTCTCTAACTCCTGATCTCATGAGATCCACCCACCTCAGCCTCCCAAAGTGCTGGGATTACAGGCATGAGCCACCACACCCAGCGAAAAGATATTTCTTATAGGAATGATTTCAGTGTATGCTCTTCACAGAATTCTCAGAAAAACCAGCCGTTCACTCAATTTTCAATTTGAGGAGAAAAGAATTTAGATTATTTTAGAAAACACCCATTCACTGTCCCGTTTTTCCTTCCTCTAGAATCCAAGTCATTCTTATCCCCGAAACTTAATCTAAAGCTAAAACTAAACTGTATTAATGGCAACCACCCAAGAATCAAATTGGCTCTATGAATCATACTGCCTAATAGAAGTAAAGATTAAAATAGGGTAGTTAAAACTGAATAAAAACTTCTTACCATTGTATTTTATTATTTCATGTTACAGTTAGGGTTTTTTTTTCTACACTTACTGTCCATCTTCACTCCAGATTGCCATACACTTGTCTCCTACTTTCCATGAATGAGTAGGTTGAGTAGAAGCAAAACTGTCTGAACTTGCAAGCGTCTCAGAAGGTTGAGTTGACAGAAGGTCTTTGGTTAGTTCTATAACTTCCTAAAAAAGAAAAACAAAAACCACAACATTATTTTCGTAATTCTCACTGTCAACTTTGTTTTTGATGACAGCTTTCATACTGTACACTAAGTACTCTCTATGTATTTCATTTGCAGTTCATAACACTATTAAGCAAGTACTGTGATTATCCCCATGTAGAAACTGAGATACAGTATTTTCTACGAGTTAAGTGGTAGAGCTGTGATTTAAGCCCATATAGTTGCCTTTCAACTTAACCACAAATACTAATGAAAATGTAAGACTTGAGCTTATACCATTTCTAAGTGCCTATTTTAGCTGAACAGATCTCCCTAAAGATGAGAAAGTCAAGTATGAGGGACTGAATTAGATATTCTTATTGTAACGTATTTTATGCAACTGTACTGTTTTATAGTGCATTACTCAGCAGTATTAACTGCCAAACAATTCCAAAACAGTTTAAGCAGCTTTATTAGTAACAAAGATGTTCCTACTTATACATATCTCAACTAAAATACTATAGGCATATGTAAAAGAAACCAGTGGTCTTCCTATTCAATTACTGTAAAACTCACCCCATCTGGGTAAGCAAATTACCAGGTTAGATTTTAAATGTTCCATACCTTAATGTTAAGCACATCAGAACAGCTTCATTTAAAAGGGGGGAAAAAAGGTAACACACATAGGCAATGCCTTTCTGTGTGGCAAATATTTTTTTCTAATTCAGGCTTACATTTATTGGCTTCATTCAAAGATGTCTGGTGTAGGGATGGCTAAAAAATTGAGAATAGTACAAACTGACAGATTCTGCTACCTATCTACTACATTTTTACTCTAATGAAGATCCACACTATGCATCTTATCTGATCTAAGAACTGGCGTAGCTGTTCACCCACTATTGCATTTAAAACATCATACTGTGTGTTTGGGGAGAAAAATGAACAAAATTAAACTATGTACTGAGTTTCTTCTAGTTCCCACTGAGGTTTCATAATAGTAAATCTGATTCAGTAGCCAAGAAAGTTAAATATTACCTCTCTTCTAAAGATTCTAAATCTTCCTGGCTATTTCTGAAAAAACTAATATTTGAGTCTTAAATCTCTTCAAGAAAGGTTAGTTTTATAAATAAATAAATAGAACACTTTGGTTTGAGTTAAAAATTTAGTAGGAATAATATCTCTAAGTTTTATTAGTTGCTAACTAGCCATTAATTAGATCTTTTTAATTAGATAGTCCTTTGCAAATAAAGCAAAGAAACTTCCAAATAACTAGATCAAGTAGTACACAAAAGAAGAGTAAATTATCTGGTCTTACTTTTAACCACTTTTAGGGGTAGGAATGTAATCCAGTAAGCCTGACTCAAGAGCCCACACAAATCTCTATCATTAAATATTTCCAGATCCACCTAGGGATCATTTAACTTAAGCACAGACATGAATTCTGCACTTGCAGGTTTCAGATTTAGAACTCTATTTCTTTTAGGACAGAACTATTTTCCAAATACACTTTGTTAGAGAAATATATTTCATCAAAGAAAAGGGTCCTGAAAAGCTGTGCATATTAGTGAATTCAGAGGCCTGTGCTGAAATGACCTTTTTTTTTTAGAAAAAATCCAGAGCATTTACTCCTCATGTCCTCTAACTTTGCCATGGTTTTACATAACCCTCCCAACAAACTATGAAGAACCTTCTAAATTTCTATTCTTCACATGTGCGTATGGACCAAAGTATTAGAAAAACTATTTTATGTATGAGGGGGTTCTTGAAGGTACATACCATTAATTACTTTTCCTCCCTCAAGTCTGAGTTCTGAAACTGCTCCTTCATCGACAGATGGGCAGCAGTTACAGTAATCGGCAATTCCAGGAAGCATCAGGTGTTGTGATCTACATATCAGCAGGTCAAAGGGGGTGCACTCAAGCACTCTGCTTACTGAAGGAAGGCGTTTCGGGGATGCAGAGAGCCACTGTAATATATGAGACAAGTGACTTGACCCCTGCCTCCTTTAGAACCAGCTTATTCAGCAAAACAGCCTAATAAATTGACTATCTGTGATTATCATAGACTGCCCGGGGAGCTAGTCAGCTAGCTAGCCTGGATTTTATTACACCCACTTTTTTTAGTGAAAAAAGAGAGGCAGGACTTTAGTAGATTATTTTGCTGCCTGCTGAATAACTTTAGTCTCCATGAAAGACAGTACATGAAATAGATAAACATAGAAACCTTACTGGCAAAATGAAGTCATTGAAAAGATGCAGAAAAAGTATTTTGTCATAAATCAAAGGGCAAACAAATTAATAACCAGGATAAGGATCTAATTCTATAGAGCAACACAGGAAATTAGAAACCATATGGTCAAAAAAATATTAATATGAGGAAGCCACAAAATCAGTCTGAACAGACTTCTCACCAAATGTAACAGGCTGAATTAAATACCCATAGCATGAGATACATCCCAGAAGGCAGAGAAGGAAAAAAGAGGTGAATGAGCGGGGGAACCCCCATAGCTAAATAGAAGCTGTAAGTATAGTCTCAATGGAGACAACAATTACTGGGTGGAAGCATATAGCCAAATACTTTTCAGAGTATTACCTCATCTTAAAAGATGGTTTCCATTTTTGAGTAGTTTTCAATTCAAAACAGACCTTATCTAGTGACCAAAATGAAATTTCTAATGATAGAATAAAATGGGAAGAAACTTTGATCAAGACTGGTCAGGAAAAACATTGTTATTACTATCTGAAGTATGAGAACTTACACTTCTAAATTCTTGCCATCCAATATGGTAGTCACATGTGGCTAATTAAGTTATATTAAAAACTCAGCTCCTAAGTAAACCTAGCTGTATTTCAAGTATCCAACCAAATGTGGCTAGTGGCTATGGTACTGAAAAGCAGATATAGAACATTTCCATCATCACAGAAAGTTCTACTGGACAGTGCTGTTTTCAATGGTTACAGAAAAGAGGATACTGTACAGAAAAATGATTTCCAGGTCATTATTAACTGAATCCCCGCAGGCAAGCCTTTTAGGGGCTTACTACAATGTTTATCACAGTGGTTTCCCCCTACAGTACTTTCCACTACGATGATCATGACATGGTAAGGCAGTTCTGCCCAGACTCTAATGATGAATTAATCTAGAAATATTAAAAAGACCTGATGATAATGCTATTTCTAACTCCACTCCCAACTTCCCCAACCCAACCAGTTCAACAAATACCCCTCCTCCCACTGCCCAGGAAGCAATATACAAAACACTGGCACCCAATGTTTTATTTTCCTAAAAAAGGACTGCTTAAGTTGGTAAAGGTAGTCGAGGCATCTCTCTTTGGGACAAACAGAAAGTGCTTTACAGAGTGTAAGAAAAGAGGTTGGTGTACCTCTGTTGCCTCATCTTCAATGTATACTCACAACATGTGAGCAAATCAAATGGACAGGTGGCAAACCATTGGGTTATTTTTCACTTAAGGGCCTGGGAGTGGGAGAAAATGCTCCCAAAACATCTTTTTCTTATTGACTGGCACCCTGAAACCCACAGGCCTGGCTTCCACATATCAAAGAGGGGTCTTGTTCATACTGAAATTATCCCAGATGGTTTGTGTGTGTTTAAAAATAACATACTACTGCAATTTTATTCTAAATCTAGAATTTGAAAGTATTCAACTCATTTTAATTATGCCCAGATAAGCAGTTCCAGAATCCCAAATCTGGACCCTATTTCAGTTAAGTTTGTCTGCAGTTGTGATATCCCTAAAATAGTAATAGTTTTAATGGACACTGGAATAATAAAGGGAGGGAAATAATTTTTAGACAGGATACAGATTCAAGTTTAGTACTCAATTGGTAAAGCAATCTCTAATCAAAACACCCTTGAAACTTTTTAAAAATCAGGTTCAGAATTTAAAGGAAGCTCTTAAAAGTCATATATATTTGTAAATTATATATGGCATTTTTCTGAATCAGTCCAGTGTCCTGAGAAACAAAAGGTATTTACTATGAAGGCTCTGTCTTGAAATCCCAGTGCAGATTTTTAAAAAAAGGTTTTCATATCTACTGGACTTGACAAAGATCTCCTTTTCACCACATAGTTCAATTTCCCCAAGTGTCACCAACTTTACTGTAAAACCTAGCCTTAAGTCCTAACATCTGTGTAACAATTATACAGAGCACATGTCTCTCTCTAGGCATCTTTGCAGTGTGTTTTCAATACAAGATATAACCCACAAGTTTTGGCGGGGGGGGGGGGAAGTCACGCATTTTCAAAGAATCTTGTGGTATTAAAAGGAATCTTAAGGTTCTATTTTTCTCCTTCAATCTTTGTTACCTTTTGAACTAAATTTCATTTTCCAGGTCTTAAAAAATAAAAGTATTTTTCATTGTGAAGTTACATGTACCTCTCGTCTTGAAAATCTGAGAGACTCAGAAATTTCTACCAACTTTTGTTTTTAAAAATCATGTAAGTACACAAGATTTATATAACAAAGAACAACATGTCATTCCCTCTGATGTACAGAAACCTGAGAACTGGGGAAACAACCCTACTTCTACAAACCACAGTACCTACACAATTTACCTATATACGCAGGGTGGGGTGTAACCCCTCAAAAGGCGCTTTGAGTACTCAGGGATTCAAGCAATAATTTGAAAAACAGAGAAAAAACTACAATTGCCTACCCATACTTACTTGTAAATCTTTCTTCAATTTTAGCAAATCTTCATTTTCTCCATTTCCAGATAATGCAGCTTCAACTTGCTGGAGCTGAGCTTTGTAGCTTGCC